CTCACATTAGAAGCGTGGGGTGATTTTCAATAATTCTATTGGATAAAATTCAGCATAAAAGATGAAAGGTCATCTTCCAATGTGCTCTTGTTTTGGTGCTCAATGCTTTAGCCAATGCTTGTATCCCTCTCCCAGTTTATCACTTTGGCTCTCCCAAGAACTCTCAACTCTCCTCCAGGGCCATGTGGTAGATTTTCTCAGTATGATGCAAGTCTTCAAAATGTTGCCCCTTAAATGCTGCTTATGCTGCCCCCTTGTGGTGCCGCCTGATGCAGCCGCCTTTCTGTATCATAGCGCGGCATGGCCCTGCTCTCCTCCTCTATTATGTAAACTCTTTCTCATCAAGATAGATTTAGTAGTTTAGGATTTGAAGTCCTCTCTCTTGTATGAATATTGAGACAAAACATTTTATTTTATTCTTAACATAGTTTTTATTGAAACGCTATTTAATATATATATATATGATAGTTATAAATTCATATAATAAATATATAGTTTTATTGTAAACTATTATTTAGATTAATTTATACCTAACTCCATTGTTGGCCCACATAGTTCATGTAATCACGAAATTAACATTGTTAGCATCTAAGGCAAATCCTCTTAAAATTCTGGTTGATTTTAAATATCTTTAGCCACTCAGAAGATGATAAACTCATTATGAGTTGAGATGTGATAGAAATAATCTCAACTGGTGTCAGGACAGACAAAGACTGACTTTTTAATCTTTCTTTTATTTACATTTCCATCCTGTACATGGAACAAAGTTGACCCGAAATTTCCACTTTTCATAGAAAAAATAACTGACACAACAGATCTACAAACTAGTGACAACAGATTCAAAACATGCCAGACCATGGAAGTTGCCTGATCACCAGATTAGAAGTTCAACATGTATTAAATATCAAGAAGATTAGATTAGAATTTAGTCTGTTGACTTTTTGCTTTTTTTTATACTATTACCGTTTCTCTGAATCTATATAAAGTACAAATCTTTTTATATATCATTTCTTTCATTCTCTTAGATGATTTAATCATGTAATGATGTTTATTATTCCTGAATTTTAAACTTCTTGGTTTTTAAAAATATTAAATAATAATGAAAGTATATTTGTTTCTTGGATGCCTTTAAGTCAATTGTAATTATATACATATTAAATGCAAACTAATCATTATAGTAGCTTAAGGATACAGATCTTTGGAATGACACTTTAAACACTTAAGATTATTTGCCATTTGGATGCAATTCTGCTTATCTTTTGTAATGATGTAGGATTCTTTAGTGATTAATATAATAACATTGAAATTAGAGAGGTAATATTTTTATAAACTTAACAAAATAAGTTTATTGCTGTAAAACTACCAAACCTACAACCATAAAATGCAGTAAAAATTTCTTTATTCTCATATGTTTTTAATTGTCTTAAATGATTGAAAATGTATAAATAATATATATGAAAAGATAGGTAGAGCTGCAGGGAAGATGATAATCTCCAAAAGGAATCTGCTATATATGGATTAATTTGAAATGACAAAGGACCAATTGATCCATTCTGAGTTCCAGGAATATACAAAATTTCCATAATGGATTTTATATAAAACAGAGTAAACAATTTGTTATATAAGGGCTACTTTGAGATCATTAGCAGCAAGAGTCAAAGAATGTAAAAGTGGCATCTGTAAAGCCAATTATAAGTTGCATTAGCAACATATGTGCTAGCTTGGTTTCTGTTATAGAAAACTGTTTGGAATTTATTGTTTTAGAAAGTAATTTTCTGAAGATTGTTTAAGATGATTGAAAATGTTTGTTAATAAAGACATGTTTACTGCATTTTATGGTTGTAGTGTTGGTAGTTTTACAAGTGTAGTTCTTATAGGAGTTAAGAAGTTTGTTGCTATATGATGCAGCTTTAATCAAGATCAAATAATTACTCTAATTATAACAAATATGCAAATGTTTTGAAAAGTAGTGCCTTTGTAATTTTTAAATATTTCAGATAATGCATTTTATTCAAATTGAATATACAAAACAAAATATAAGACCTATTTTTCTATATAAGAACCGTAAATGTTTATACACTTATCCCAGTGTGCCATGAGTTTGAAAATACCAGTCTTTTTTTAAGTTGAATTCCAGATTTCAGTTATTCATCTGATTGAAACTTCTTCCTGCCGAGATATGTTTTTTGTTGAGCCAAATAGATGGATGCAGCAAAAATTCCCAACCGTAGGCTAAAATATTTTCCACAACCATCAGTGCTTGCAGCCAGATCATTCATCACATGGACATTTGTCACACTTGTTTCAACATTTTGCACCATTGTAAAACTTTTGAACAATTTATGTAATAATCAGAATACACATTCAACATTTTAGCATGATTTGTGATAATTTTCTTCTTTCGTTTAAAACAATTGCACTATAGCTCTCTATTCCTCTAAAATAGACAATGTGATAAGAGATGACAATTTAAACTAACCTATATCATAGCCTGTGAGAGATATTACAGTACCTGTTGAATAATGCTGTGGGAGAAGAAAGGATGTACATTATGGCCCTTCTATTTTTACCATATTCAAATTAAAATGAGTGCAATAAAAAATAAGACATTCATTTTTGAAACATCTTCAGCTATATTTTATGTTTTACAAACAAGCAAAAACAATAAGTTATATTTGCATAATTAATTTTTTATTTTTTTTTTGCATGCTTTCCTTTTAATATCAGAAGATTTTAAAATGAAATATTTATGTATTTAAAATTTATAAATACTATGTACAGTCGATCCCCCCATAACACTGTTGATTATTCCATTTTATATGAGTTCCATGTTGTACGAGTCACTTAGATTTTACAAATACGTGAGCCATTCACAGCCCAACACATGTATTTGTAAAATCTAAGTGACTCATACAACATGGAATTCATATAAAACAAAATAATCAACAGTGTTATAGGGGGTCGACTGTATTGCTATTTTTCAATATTTAATTAGATCTATTTTTGTATCTTAAAGATAACCTATTTTATAATTTATATTTATTAAGAATAATCTTGAGTAAGAAATTAATTAACATTTAAATGTTTAATTAATTTGCATGGATGTGTTATCTCTTATCTTAATAAAATAAAATTATAAAAATGATATATTAATCAACATATATATCATCATCATTTATATTCTCCCTCATATTATTAGAATTTATTTAAATTAATTCACCATATTTTATTTTAGAAAATAATATTTTAAAACAATTAACAGAATACTAAGCATTTCTTATTTTAAATTTATTGTTTTATTAAATATATTTTAATTTAATACTTACATACTGAAATTAATTATAGTATTATGCAGAAGTTAAGCTGAATTCTGCCATATGGCTGGCTCTAATCTATAACATACAAGAAAAGAAAAGATATATAGTATATATCAGTGGTTCTCAACTGGGGGTACATTACCCCTAGGGGTATGAGCATAAATTGAAGGGATACTTCTTTCATTATGTTAATCAATTTGATGTAAATTATTAACACAAGAAACAAGAAACAATAAAATCTTGCTTTAAAATATCCCAGTGTGAACACCGATTTCCCTTTTAACAGTCTAAACAACTTATTTATCCACTTGATTTGCCTGTCTATTTGTGCTATTAGTGCCGAGTGAACCTATAGTCTAGTAAAATTATGGTTTAACCAAGCATTAATTTTAGAATAGAAAAAACGAATTTTTTTCTGTTCTATAATAATTATTCGATAAGATTGGGGCTTTTTGTGTTTTTACTGGACTACTGGTATTAGGAATAATGAGGTCTGGATCATACCCCCACCATGCAATGATGTCACTGCATGCATGCATTACTTGATATTTAGCAAATTTAGACATTACATTTGTTACAAAAATTGAAAGATTCATGTATTGTTTTGCACATTATAAATTTGCAGCCATTGCTTTCAAGGTCCAGTACACAATTATAATCTCTATTTAACAACGTGAGAATCAAATTTTGAAAAAATTGCTGAAGATTTATCGCAACAAATATCCCATTAAATTTTGTTAGAAATTATTGTAGAATAATTTAAATTTTCTTTATTGTTAATTATAATTATTTATTTTTAGGAAATGTAATTTATGCATGTATTTAAATGACTTCGTGATTTTATATAATATACTTGTCAAATAATAATAAATAAATGTATATACCTGATTAAATTTAACTATTATTTACATAAAATAAGTAATTCACTTTTAGATATAGTTAGTTAGTTGAAGTTTTTTTTTATGGTGCTCAGTTATAAGGGCTGTATACATCTAATGCAGTAATTATAAAATTTACATACAAAAATATAAGGGGTACTTGAGACAAATAACTAATGGGTTAATGGGGTACATCAACAAAAAAGGTTGAGAACCACTGGTATATATATTATTCTATTATCTATAATATGTAAAAGAATAAATTCCTTCAGAATAATAACTTTAAAAAATGAGGCCCTGAGCTGTAACTGGTTCTGATTAGACATATAACAATTTATTACTACTATAATTACTTTTAAAAATTTTCCACTTTTCTTCCTTCTTTTTCATACAGCTTATAAATTATATATTTAAAATAAGATAACAGAATAGAATGTAAAGTTACAAAATTATTTCTATTTATTTTGCATAAACAATAGCTTATAATTATGTTTCTTTTAAATAAAGTAATAATGTTAATAATAAACAATATTTAATTTCTTAATGAGAATATATTGACAAAAAGATTGTTTTAAATAAACTTGTAAATTGGTTAATTATTCATTTGGTAACTAGCTTTCATTGTTCATTTGTCATTAATAATACTTTTAAATCATTTAATTTTAATAGATATATTTTCCTATTATATTTATTTATTTCCTGTTAAAATTTTCAAAAATTTTGATAATAAATTGCAAATTATTTTAAAAAGAATAAATTTTCAAGTAAAATAAACTATTATGTTTTGTTAAATATTTTTATTTAGCATTAGATTGTCTAAAATATATGATTAGTGGTAGCAGCTTAATAAAAGTTCGACCAAGTTCACGACAGTACAGGCGTTTCTTTACACTCGAAGAAGATCTATCTTCTATAAGGTGGATTCCATCAACAAAGAAATCAAACAAAGCTAGATGTATGTTTATCTTTTCTCCTTTCATTTTCAATTTATTTCTAAAATTAGTTTTTAAATGCAATTAATTTAAAATAAAATTTTAAACTGAAAGTGAATTTAGTGAGGTTAATATTCTCTTTTAAAAATGTTTTTAATGCTATATAACAATCAATTGTAATACATTGATGTAATGAGTGAACAAAATGCTTTAAAATGACATTGTATAAAAGTGTAGGTCACATCAGTTATATACCATCTAAATTGTCCTTGAGTAACATTCTACTTATGATTGATGTTTCAGTGCCAATTCGTTGCATGCGTGAAGTAAGAATGGGTAAAAGCACAGAAGTACTAAGGAGCCGTGAAATTGCTGGCAGTTATTCTGAAGATTGTGCATTCTCTGTAATTTATAATGATACATTTGAATCCTTAGATCTAATTGCACCATCAGCAGATGAAGCTAATATTTGGGTGACAGGACTGAATGTTCTAATTGGTGCTTCCAAATGTATGTATTTTAAGATAAATAGTAGGATGAGTAAAAATTACTTAAAATAAAATTATTTAAATAAAGTTAATGATTTATGTTTGCTTCCTTCTAATTTACAAATTAAAATTTGCCTTATTTTTTTTTAAATTTCAAAATTAACCAAAATAATTTTAACTAAGAAATTATGTAAATTTTTAATATAAATTCAATATATTTGGTATATTTTTTAATATTCAATTATATATATATTTTTCTAGCTCCTGATACTCTTGATGAAAGACAAAGAATGAGAGAAAAGTAGTATTATTTTTACTTTCATTATTTTTTTAGTTTTTCTTATATATTTTTTTATTATTAATCTTGAAATAACTTTACTTAGATGGTTAAAAGAAATGTTTGATAAAGCTGACACTAAGCAAAAAGGATTATTAGATGAATGGGAAACGATATCATTAATGAAAAAATTAAATAATCAATTAAGTACAGTTCGTTTAAGGCAAAAAATAATGGTAAGAAAAATCAAATATTTCAAAAATATATGCTGTAAAAACTTGAAATATTTGATTTAAATTTTTTCTTGATTATTTTTTCTTTTGAATATGTGCTATTTTTATTTTATATTTATTATTTTAACACAGCAAATTTTACAGTTAACTTAACAGAAATGAAAAAATTTTAAATGTTACTGATGTTAATTCATCCTTAAATTTGACAATTCAATCATGTGATTTACCCAGTTTCAGATCATTCAACTTTAGTTTTACAGATTTAAAAAGTAGTCAAATGTTTTGTCTTTTAAATGTTGCAATCTGTTCAGATAGAATTACTCACTATTTATTCATTTACTAGCTTAAACTTACTTTAATAAATATTTATTATGATTTAAAGATTATCAAAGAATTTATTTATTTTTAAAATATATTTAAATTAAATGTAGACGAACATAACGATTGTTGTTTAATTATTATATTTTAATGTACAGTAGATCCCCCTATAAGACGGTAGATACGTTCCGTTCTTTATGAATCAATTTTGTAGGAATCATAGTTTACGGACTACGGCTGTTTGAAAGGTTTTCTTTCATAAAATTAATCGATTCTAGACTAATTCGACTCAACATTTCCAAAATACGTATATTTTTTTTAAAATAATCCGTATAAACTACGTTATAAACAAAAAATTGTAGGATTACTTACCGAGTGTGTACCCTTTGACTACGCTCGTTGCTAAAGCTTGGTTTCGTCGCGGAACAGCGCATCAAATTGCGGCCGCGATTTCTGATATTATTTTTCTGCGAAAACTTCGTTGACCTTTGGAGACATCATTAATATAAATAATTTTTATGGCCGTTAAATAAGAAATGTTTCTTTCACAAGAAATGTATAAAATTACAGTACTAAACAGACGATAGGTCGCCTAACTCGCCGTAGCGTGACGCTAGACGGCGAAAAATATATATTTAATTATAATAAAGTTACAATAAATTAAGTTAATATATAATTATATATACAGTACCTAATTTATATATAATTAATATATAATTATATGTACAGTACCTAATTTATATATAATTTATATAATACTGTCCAGACGATAGAAATCTCTCCGTAGCGTGGCGCTACGGACGGCGGGTAAGTAGTTCGGCTGCCCGATGACGTTTTACGTATTATAGGAGTTATTTTTACCGTTGTTTACGGATAATGCCACAATTTTTATAGGAATCATAACTATAGGAAACGCTTTTATAGGGGGATCTACTGTATATGAAAGAATTAAATAAAAATTTTTAATGTTTCAAGTAAATTATTTTTAGAATTGGTTATTTAAAATTTGTTTAGCAAATCAAGTGTAGAACTTTCTTATGCTGATTATTTATTTTATAAAATTTTGATTCAATTAGATCAGTCAACAAACACTGCAATGAATAAATACAATTTTGTGTAACAAAATTTATTTTAAAAAGTTACGAATTGAATAAAAATTCTATAATTTTTTATGCAGTTTTCAATGTCTCTTGTTTAGGAAAATTGATTATTTAAGTATTACAAAATTGATAAGTAAATAAATAAATTTTTTTTAAAATATTTAACAGTTTTGGTAGTTATCATCTATGATAGGAAAACAGTAATTTTCTTAACAGAAATATTTATAAAATAAAATTGAATTATTTCAGAATGTATAAAATGTTTAATAATAATAATGAATAATTTTAACAATTTAACAAAATAAATGTAATCAGCAAATTTTTTTAATTTAACATTAATTAAATTCCTATACTACCACATGTAAAAATAAATTTTGATAAATCTATTTCATAAAAATATATTCACAAAGAATTTATCTGTCATATTTAGGATAGAATATTTATTAGATAATCTAAATTGACATTAATTTTGTTTTCTAAATTGTTGTTATTTAAATTGTAATTTAAGAGTTTATTTTTATTATTAAAATAATACGAAAACTAATAAATTCATCTATTTATCTAAATTTCATTGTATAATTAATAATTTAAAAGTAATTTTATATCTTTGATTATATTTTTGAAATGTCAGGTAGTTAAATACTTAGACAACTTTTTTTTTTAACCCAAACTTTTGAACTTTTAAAATTTATAAATTTTTTAATTATCACTTAAATTTTAAAAATATTGCAAAGTATCTTAAAGAATATTATTATTATTATTATCATCATTATTTTAGGAATATGAACATGGAAAAATTGGAGAAGAAAGAGGAAGGATAGGAAGCAGTGATTTTGTAAATCTTTTCAAGGAAACATCAACTCGTCCAGAAATATATTATTTATTAGTGAGGTGAATTTTTATTATGTTGATATTGATTTTGTTAGTTTCTTTCAGGATATTTACAAATTTTAAACATTCACATAACAAAATATATAGAAAAATTTTAAGTGTAATCAATACTTGATTTTTATTTCTATAAATATAATCAAATATTGATTTTTGTTTGAAATTGTTTTTGTTGAAAATTTTTTTTTTTTTAAATCAGGTTTTCTGGAAAAGATTATATGACATTAGATGATTTTCAATTATTTCTTGAAGGAGAGCAAGGCGTAAGATAGATACATTTTTCATATGTTAATTTAGTTGTAAACAGTTTTGAAAGTAAGAATTATTAAATAATTTTTTCAGATGTACAACATTAGCCAAGAATATTGTGAAAAAATCATTCAACAATTTGAACATTCAATGGAAGCACAGAAAAATAGGCAGTTTCTTATTGATGGTACCATTTATTCATTTAAATAATATATTATTTAAGTTTGTGTGTCATGTTTTTAGACCTTAATTTAATTTTTAAAATTTATTTATTTATTTATTTATTTTATTTTTTTTTTAGAATTTAGTTTGTTGCTTTTCTAAAAGTTTAAAAATGTCAAATGTATTTTGTAAGAGAAAAAATAACATCACTTGTAACGTAAAACAAGAAAGCACTTTCACCCAATAACATCTTGAACTCTTTCTGTAGACAAATTTAGTTTCAAAAATAATTTTACTATTTTTCAAATCTGATATTTTACTTTGAATATAGTTTTTATTTACCTGGAAATATTGATTTGGTCCCTTAAATATTTTACTTTCTGAATAATTTTTTCTTTATGCAATTAACAGTTTTTCATTGAGTAAATAAATAATGATGTATAAATTCAATTCTGCAAATAGAAAACAAATCTAAAAAAATCAGTATAAAAAATTTAATTAGAATTATAACTATAGTGAACAAGAATATAAAATTTTATTATTTAATTTTTAATTAAAATTTCTACTATAATTTTTATTTGAAATTCAGTTGGATATTAATCTGAATTTGAAGATATCCTGTTTATTATATATAGAGTATGAATATTAATTATATATTAATTTTTGAAAAGTTGAATACTTTCTATAAAAAAATATTTAAAAAATCAGCTTTAATTATTAAGGATAAGTTTCCCTGGAATTATTTCAAATTTCATTTAATAAATTTTTTATAATTTATTTTAAAACTTATAATAAATGTAATACAAATATAAGTTTAAAAGTTTTTATTATTCTTAGTATAAAATTTTATTATAAAAATTTTTATCTCCTTAGGTACTGGTTTACCTTATTTTATATCATCACTGATCTACTTGTTATTTTAGGTAGCCTCACTATTCTATATTCAAGTTTTAAACAGAACATTTAAGAAATTTGAGAGAAATGAATTTTGGACTGTTATCATTTTTTAAACCACCTTCAGTTTCTTTAAGAAATTGCAATAGTCTGAAATTTCTGCTTAAAATGCAAATTTGGAGTAGTGAAACTATTGAAACTAAGAATTTTATTAGAGTAGACAAGGAATTATAAATTTACAATCAATCCCCCTATAACATTGTTGATTTTTCCGTTTTATATGAATTCCATGTTGTACAAGTCACTTAGATTTTACAAATACGTGAGCCGTTCACAGCCTGGCACATGTATTTGTAAAATCTAAGTGACTTGTACAACATGGAATTCATATAAAATGAAAAAATCAATAGTGTTATAGGGGGGGTTGACTTGTACTAATTTTTATTGTTCAATGGTGATTTATATTTTACTTTTTTAATCTATATTTTGCTATGAAAATACAAAATATTAAATTTTGATTTTGTTGTTGTCCAGTTTTCTTGCAAAAAATAACATGTTTATATTAGAGATGCTTTTATTTATTCATTTGTAATAACAAAATTGGCATCTTTCCTATTTTCATTTAAATATTTGTATTGCAAAATTGCAAACTTAATCTTATTTGTACTGTATTTGCTTTCTAATATAAAAAAAACTTACTACAGAAATAATTTAATAGTAAAAGATTTCTTTTTTAGCTTATATATTATTTCTTCAATAACAATATTTAATTATTAAAATGAATTTTCTTATAAATGTAAGTTAAGTAAACTTTACTTTTTCATAATAAGCTGAAATTTTTTAAATGACTATTATTATTTAAAATATTTCTGTAAATACTGTGTAAAATTTACAACACTGAAAAAATTTCTAATATTGTTTGTAATAATTTTATATTCACTAAAATAGCTTTACTATATGTAAAGCTATTATTAAATTATAAATTAAGTTAAATTAAGTATCATTTGATAATTTAAAAAATCATATATACATATGATTTTTTAAAATTGCTATGTACTAGAAAAAGGAACTTGCTTACAGCTAAATTTCAGAAATATATTTAACAATGTTAATCATCCAGATGAGGTGACAGTGAAACATCAAGCTAATACTATAGATCTACATTTGAATCCACTCATAAATAATTTCCTTATTCTACAATACTAATGTCAATTAAATATAATGGATATTCAATAGGTTCTTTTTTATGTATCGTAGTCAAAGCAAATTTTGAAATTAGTATTTATTTAATTTATTAATCATGAATTAAACAAAACATATTAAGTGATTCAGATTTTAGTTAAATTCATATTTATTTATTCTGGATTTTATTTGCTGTATTAATAAAATAAATAATTTTGTGTTGAGTAAAATAATCAAATAAATAAAGAACAAAATTATTTTGTAATTTTGTTACATCCTTTTATCACTTGTTTTTTTTATAGTTGACTTTTTATTATCAATACTTACAATAAAAAAAAATTTATATATGAAAATTTTAAATCTTAAAGATTAAAAACTTTTGTAATTTGTTTTTATTATAAAATTGTGTTACACAAAATATTGGTAGTTTCAATTTTATTCTATTATTCAGTATTTAAATTAGAACATTAAGTTATTTAAAATGTTAAGAAAATATTCTATAAATGTTATAGGAACTTTCATAAACTGAATACTGAATAGATAACACTGGACAACAAAAAAAATGTTTTTGAATGTTTCCTTTATTTCATGAGTGAAATCTTACTAATTTTGGGGTGAGAAAATTGAATATGACAAAGAAAAATTTTTATTAGCTCTAGTTTCTGTGGTATACAATAGATGATTTTAACAGCATAAGAGAAAGCGATACATTTTAATTACATATGCTAACAACATTGAAAGTGCTTTTGAATTTTTTTTAAAATTACAGTAACATTCTAAGAGTTCTAAATTAATAGATTCCGTGTGATTAGGTGTGAAGAGAATCATGTGGTGACTTCATGAGATCATTTTCTTTTGGCTTACCTCTTGTGAGTTCTGATGCATCCCTACACACAGACCAGCAGTAATCTGCAAGCATTGCTTCATTCCAATGGCCCTGATATCTTTGTTCCAATACAGAAATATCCTGGTGGAATCTTTCCCCATGTTCATCACTGACAGCTCCACAACTAGGAGGGAAAAAGTCTAGGTGGGAATGGAGAAAATGGATTTTGAGGGACATGTT